CTACCCTCACAACTCATACGGGCCACCGCTACCACCCCCTCTCCCTTCATTTACTCCGAGCTCATAAAAAGCAATGATGACACGCCGTCATTTTTTTTTATTATTCGACTTCTCGCAACCGCACCTTCGTCTTTGTACTTCTTCTATGTGTCAAATGTCGCTCTCTTCAACAAAAAGGCAATAAAACACGCAAAAAGTTAAAATTTTGAGAAATATACAAAATATGTGCAAAAGTGAATGTACTTAAGCATTACACAATAGCTTTTACACGCAAGCAGTGTCATTCTAGTTGCAGCGACACACGTCCAGCGAGCTACGTTTTGTTGATAAAATGTCGCACACTTCAAGTGCATGACGTAGCTCGTTACTGAACGTGCAGCCGCCCCTCCCCGGGGCCGCGCCTCGCGCACAGTCGAGATTTTTATTCAAATTAGTCTCCTGCCAGACAACAGCGCGCGCGGGGAGTTTCAATAAAGAAGCGCGAAAACTAGCGCGGCAACGACAGGATAAAAACAAACGGCGGTCGTCCTGAGCGACAATTGCCTGCCGCCGTTTACACTCGAGAGTTTTGTCGTCGAAGGCCCCCCACGGCCCAGCCGGAGAGAGAGGGAGAGAGAGATAGAGAGAGGGGATGGGAGAGACTGCTCCCGGAGCCTCGACGCCCCACCAGGCGCCTGGGAGGTAGGCTCTCCCGCTCCGGAGCCGTGCGGCCCGGAAGCCTACCTCCACGGCGCCTCCCAACGCCAGGGCCGCCCCTGCTGGTCCTAGTTTACCTACAAACTTTTTTAAAATTTCAAGAACATTCACTTCTTATTCCGTGTTTCTCCCTTGTAGTAGTGGTAGAAGTGTTTTCTTTTTTGGCGGTGTCGCTGGCGCCGACTACGCTATCCTGTTGATGGGTCCCACGACACTGAAGTGGCATAGCCGGGCGGCCGGCAGCGCACACACACGGCTGTGCTAATGGCGCACAACGATAGGCTTAATAAGCGGGGGCACACACACACACACACTCACTGACGTCATGTCTGCAATATGTTGATCCGGACAGCGTGCGACGCCAACGTGTCCCAGACAAACGCCCGACGTAAGTCAAAACTTAAAATTAAAAAAGAAAAGCAAAAACAATTTAAATTAAAAAAGCAAATTTGCTTAATTAAATTAATGACAAATATAGAGGATTCAATCGGTTTCAATATTCAATGTGTCACTAAATAATGCACTTCCGACTCCAAAAATTCATTTAATTTAAAATAAAAATCGACCATTTCACGCGTTTTGCTTCGTTTCATCTCCAATTGTCGGAAGAGTGTGGCACCCATCCCTCTTCGCTATCTGCGCGCGCCCATCGCGCTGCGTGTCTCTATTCGTTCGCCTCCATCAAGAGAGGAATGAATCTCCCGCGCCGCCACGACGCAAGCCTGCCACCACAGCCAGCAGCACCATCGCTGCAGGCGCCTCGGGCTGGACAACACAACAACAATTAAAACATCTAAAAAACTAATTACGACATTGCTCTCAAAAAATTAATACAACAGGCGAGACGTTGACTTTTCTCGTCTCAAGTAGAGGTTCTAATTTTGCGGTCAGCAGTTGATTTTCTGCGAAACTATCAGCGATGAAAAGAATTAAACGTTTTGACAATTACTGCACCTTTACGAAAAGTGTTTCGCATTATTTTCTTCTTTTACAGAGGGGAGGCAGGACAGATAAGAGGGCGATCAGACTGATGCTAGTAATCTCGTTCTTTCTCTCTCCCTCTCCCTCTGGCACGGCACGCGGGCTTGGACACGACGCCCGCGCAGGGAGAGGGCAGTGGATTCCCTCGTCCTGCCGCCCTGGGCGTCCTCCGTCCGCTCGTCCGGTAGGGCGGCGCGAGAGCGGGAGAGAGAGGGAGAGAGAGAGAGAGAGACAGAGAGAGAGAGAGAGAGAGAAGGCGGCAGCCCCCTGGAATTCAAATTAAACGCTAGTCATGAGCCGTCCAATCATCAGAGCGAGGACAGCGAGGGAACATCTTTGCGCAGTGCGTGGATAACGGCGCTGTGATTGCTTCGCGCGGGACAGGGTGCCGCGAAAAGACGAGAGAGAGAGAGAGAGAGACAGAGAGAGAGAGAGAGAGAGAGAGAGAGAGAGAGAGAGAGGCGCCGGCTTGTACCGGCCTGCCTGCGCGAGCATCCAAAAGGCCGGGCGCTCCCTCTCACAAAAGCGCGCGGCAGAGAGGCGGCACCGCCGGTTCGTCGTCTAGTTTCGTTTCAACACGACGAGACTTTGTCGGCCGCCCCAACACGCTCGTCCACAGCTCCGCGCACCACACGGTCTACTCAAAGGCGGCGAGCTTCAACCCGGGGACCTCGCACTTGAAAAGCGGAGGTGCGCCAACTCGAACACTCTGCTGGGGCGGGGCCATCAGCTAGCTTTAGAGTGAACGTTAAGGCGATAGGGGTCCCCAACTGTAGGCTGTGCAGACTTCGGCGGAAGTCCTCGGTCGAACACCACCACGAGCAGCAATGATTGTTGTCCGTGCGTACTGTCCAACAGTTATAAGTGTAGTGCCACACATGTGGCACACTTTAAAGCGTAGTAAGCAAGCCGTGGGTGGTACACATGTAGTATTAGTATAACGCTTTTAAGTGTGATGCATGCGTGGTACTGCTCTTTAAAGTGTGTTGGCACTGTACTTATAACTGTGTGCACTTGGATTTCTAGAGAAGACAAAAAAAAAATGCAGTATGACTAGAAAAAATTAGCCCACAGGGCTATGAAATAGACAGTCCCCTCGATCAGGCCACAAAGCCAATGTACACAGTCTTGAGTGCAGCAGTGGCGTGGCGGAGCACTGCTGCTGCTGCGCTTCCAGCTCTGCCGGCGTAAGGTCGTTTGCGGCAGTAAGCCTCCAGGTTAGAAGGGTCATGTGTCGATTGCAGCAGGACCAAGGCACGTGTGGTCGTTTTCGGCGCGCGCGGGGAAATCCGAGGGAAGAATTTCTCATTTCTCTCCGCACTCCAGCTCTACACTAAGAAAATTTTTTGGTCCTGAGCACTTAACATTTTGTCCCGAGACCAAAAGTTTTTGACGCACTATAAAGTTGTGCCTGGCCACCAAAGTTTTGTCGCCGAGCATTAAAATTTTGTTGCCACGCACAGTAATTTTAGTGGCAGGAACTAAACTTGTTGTGCCAGGAACAAAGTAGGACGCACTAAACAACCGTCTAGTGCCCGGGAGAAATTGTTTACTCAGTGTAGTGTAAATTGTGCGGCATAAAAGCGGTTAATATGTAGTGTACACCAGATATGTTATGTCATGTGTCCGATAGGTCTCTGAGAACTAAGTCTGTTCGGATCGTGCAAGCTGCTGCGCCTGGCGTCGTTCGCGCTCGTGCCTAGACCTTGGTCCCGACCCCGATCGCACCGGCCGGCGTGTCGCCACAGCGATACCTACGGACGGCCTTGTGCACCGCCACGCCGCCGTCGATCGCTATAGATCGCGTCCAGATAGTCAAACAGCAGGAGTAGCTAAGCCGGCTGCGGCTGCGAGCCGTGAGTCTACACTTCTCCTCGGGCGGCTTCCCGGCCGAAGATACCACCGACTTGCTGTTTGGGGCGCTGGCTTCCACCCGCGACCCGAGAAGTTCGCGGCCCAAAGAGTCGGTTTTCCCGGCGAGTGCCCCTCTCGCTGCTTAGCTTCCGGGCCTCTGGGAGACTCCGGCCGGCCGGTGGGTATTGCCCCCTGATCCTGATCTCCCCCCCCCCTCCCGCTATCCCCCGCCGAGCACGACGCACACCGCGCACGCCGTGGGCCGTCCGTGCTGTCAGCCGGCAGTCGTAGTGCGGCACTCCAGGTGAAAGGATACCCAGCTCTGAGGACGAAGCCTCTCCCGATTGTCAGAGCCACCCAGACCCAGCCACCGTAGGTAGTTTAAACATCGTCTGAGTGTGTGCCAGGTGGACGATTCACGCCGCGTTCTTTCGTAGTTATAGTGTACCGCACGCGGGCGGGTTGCCTGCCTACTCGTCCAAGAAGCCGTATAGGCAGCGAGGAAAGGTAAGCTCGCCCGCACCAGTGCATGCCGTTCAGTAGCTACAAGAGCGCGCGGCGTGAAATCTGTCACCCGATACAAGCCTCGTTACAGTGCCGTTTATTGATTTCTTGCGCCCCCACAGCTCATGGATCTGCTGACGGACAACCTGCTGGCCATGGCCATGTCCTACCTGGAGGTGGAGGACCTCTTGGCGTGCCGCCTTGTGTGCAAGCGGCTGGCGCGCCTGGCCCAGCACCCCGACGTGTGGCAGGACCGATCCATTGAAGTCCACGGCGGCCGCGAGATGTGCCCGGTGCTGCGCCTGGCGCCGTGCGCGCTCGAGATCTCGACCTATGTCTCTTCTCTCAGGTCGGGGCCGGCGTGTCGCCACGCCGACCTGCGGACGACGTCTTGCGCCGCCAAAGGGTTGACGATCAACGTGGAGAATTGTGTACCCGAGCACGCTGCGAAAGCCGTCCAGATCATCAACCGGCAGGCGGCGCTCGGGCGGCTGCGGGGCGTGAGTCTATGGCTGGCGGACGTTAGCGCGATTCTAGATCCCTTGGTTCTGCCTGAAGAAGGCGTGGACCAGATTTTTGGGACGCTGGCCACAACCCCTGGCCTGGGGATGATCATCCTCCGCGGGAACCTGGGCCAAGGGAAACGGTTCCCGCCCGGGATCGGTCAGCGCGGCACCATCACGCCGTCCTTGGAGATTTTCCACTGCGACATGGTTCCCTGGCCAGACTCCTTCTGCGACTACCTGCTGGCCGGGCACGCCGCAACCTTGGTGGGGGTCCACCTCGGCTACATACCCGCGAGGACCTCCGCGCCCCTCGCCTCCACCTCCACGGCGCGCCTGCTCGCCGGCATGCCCAACCTCCACAAGCTGTGCTGCCCCCTGATCCCGGGGCTGGGGGAGGTGGCGGCGTGCGAGTCGCTCAGGGAGCTGGAGCTCGCCGTTCCGACCGAGTCCAACAGCCACGGCGCCTTGGAGCTCCTCCGCCGCGCGCTCCAGATCCGCCGCCTCCACCTCTACTTCCCTCGCCGACCTGACGGTGAAGTTGACGACCATGAATTGGGCGCAGAGCTGATTGGTGAGCTGGCGTCGTCCGGGCGCTCCCAAGTGCAGACGCTGTCCATCGATGTCGAGGACTCGTACTCTCAGTCCCTGCTTGTGCCTCACCTGGCGGCCCGGCTATCCTCGCTGCCCGCCCTGCGACGCCTCGAGCTCAGGTTGTTGGACCCAGCCCCGCTGGTGGATGCCATCAGCCCCCAGACCGCCCCGTACCTGCGGAGCCTCCACCTACTCGACAATGAATGCCCGCGTCGCATGTGCTCTCACAAGTTTCTACACAGTAGGAGACTCGGTGCGCTTCTGTCGAGGAACCCCTTGCTTCACGTTGAGGTGCAGTACGCCACCACGGACTGCCTCGAAGGCGATGAGGAGGACCTGTACGACGAGGAGGACCTGTACGAGAAGTGCAACGCGTGTCAACTGGACTGCCACAAAGAACTCGAGGGACCTGCAGAGGGTGAGGATGGCGAAATCGTTGGCGTTTTCGCGCACCCTGGAGGCGAGTGTCCCTCCCCAGAGGATCACGATGCTTGTGGGATTTGGATTCACATCAACGATGTTCAACCTGTGTTTTGATTTATCATTTCTGTATAATGAAACACTCAGTGCAAATTTGACATAATGGATTCTGATCTGATCAGCGTGTCAACCAATGAATAAATGCATAACAAATTGCTGTGTATTTCTGGATGTATTTTTTTCTTCGTTTGTCCGAGTTACTCCTTTAAATTTGAACACGTTTCAACAGTATGCTGCCGGACGCCAGGAGGCAGCACTTTCTAATGCTCAGCTGGTACACTGTGAAGGGAATTTCCTTTCTTGGAAAACATGCCCTAAATCCTTCGGCCGTCGCACCGTTACGAAAAAGCTTTTATCTTGGGTCACTATTTAAGTACAAAATGTACTTAAAACAGTAAAACCTTTTTACTTCTGACTGTATTTTTGTCAGGC